GGAGGATGGACCACACTGAGTTCAGAGGACCACACAGAAGGGGGGTTTAAAGAACATCTCCTGGTGCGGGTGGGAGCAAGGATCTGTCCCATCAAGGAGGATCGTGCTGCCCTGAGGTGCAAAGCAAAGGAGCTGGGGTTTGTTTTGCTGCTTTGTGTCTGCAGCATGGGAAGCCAGGTTGGAAAAAGCAACCAAATGGCTCAGGCGTAGATGGCAGATCCTGCATGAGGGACAGGGACAAGGCCAGGGTGCGAGGAAGGAAACAGAAGCTCCTGCCTTGCTCCCTGCAGCTGCACTCCACCAGCCACTCCAGCTCCGTACTTGCGCCGCACCGGCAGGAGAAACAGAACAGGCATCTCCAGGGAGTGTGTTTGGAAAATACCAGGTTTTATTAGACAGGGTGATGTTCAAGCTGACAGTTTTATCCCAATGCATACAATCACAGGCATCTATGTGGGCCTGTGTCCCAGCCCCCTCCCTCCTGCGATGCTCAGGGGTGAAACGCTCACCTCCCCACTACTGCGGAGACTTGGGGTTTCTTGGCAAAATTAAAAGGTCTCCCTGCTCCCAGTTTTCACCCCCAGATTCCCAGAGCTCTCCTGAGGAAGCTCAGAGAGAGTGGGGCTGGGGACTGCAGTGGTGGTGGGACTGACAGCTTGGATCCAGGAGAGAAAGCATCTGGGTGTCAGCATCTCCCCAAGCCGGCATAGCGCCAAATCAGTGTGTGTCACAGAACAGAAAACAGCCCCAGCTCCGGACCGCCACTGCCATCACTTTGGGAAGACAACCCTAATGCATGATATCGGGGGGAGAAAAGGTTTTGACTCTCACAGAGGAGACCCATCTGGGACACGGGCACCAGAGCTTTGCATAGGGTATGCGAGTGCTGAAGGGAAGAGAAAGGGAGGAGAGGAGGCAGTGAGTACTGAACAGTACAGCAAAAGAAAAGGAAAATTGGGAAGGGAGATGGGGATGGGGAGAATGACAGGAGCAGCCTGAGAGCAGAGAGGTTATGCCTTTGGGTTCAAGGCCATAAGGAAGATAGAGGCCATAAAGGGTTCAAGGCCATAAAGGGTTCAAGGCCATAAAGGAGATCCCTTCTGGGATGGGGGGACCTTTCCCTGGGTACCCAAGAGCCCACAGGGTTTGGGAGGATGGGGCAGCAAGGAAAGAGACGGAGCAACACAGCACTTGCAATAGAAACGTTTGATGGCTTTTGCTTGCCATGACAGCGGCACACAGTGTGACTGCAGGAACGGTGACAATATTAGCCCATTTCTGTCGCTGTTTCTATTCCATTAGCTCTTAAGAAAACCATGCAGACCAGCCCATGGAGGAGAGTGTGAGGCGAAGAGGAGTGGGTGAGGCAGAGAGGGACCCCAGTGAGCAAGGGGATCATACACAAGAAGGAACAGCAGCGGAGGAGGGCAGCAGCTCCGAGGCAGGTTTGAGACCTCGTGGCACTGACTCACAAGCACATCACTTCTCTCGGGGCTGTTCTGGCTGCTGCTTTCTCTGATACCTCTGCTTGCCTTCATTCACACCTCTGGTCCCCTCTGTGCTGCAGGCAAAATCCCTCTGCATGAGCCATGCCCCTTCCCATGCTTGGACGTAGATCTGGGTCTTGTCTTCATTAGTTCAAAGGTAGAGTCCTACCATGAAGCCGAGGCAGGGACCATGTATTTCCCTGGGGTGTCATCTCCAAAAACTCACCTAGACTCAAGGGGACCTCTTCTTTGCGGTGCCTGGGAACGTAGAGCTCCCGTGGACCTTCTGCTCTAGCCCATGTCCTGTTGGCACATGGAGATGAGGGGCACAGCCCTTCACACCCTTCCCATCACAACACTGCCTTCCATTCCCAGCCTCCTCTTTCCATCTTTCATTCCTTTTGCTCTTTTCTTGCCTCACCCATGTCTTCTTGTTCTTGTCAAAGGTAAGTCCCTCTGCTCCAGAAGTTTCCTGTAGAGCAGTGTTAGCTGTGGTCGTTTGGCAGGAGGAAGGAGAAAGGACGTTCAGCA